ACCCCTAACATTTTTTTAATTGAGCTGATATTTTGACAGGGCTCTTACAGCATGATAAACTAACATATTTTCACAAGAGACGAGATAAAAAAATATTCTTTTTTTTGGGCCACCCTAATATACATATTAGGGTGCTTCAAAAAATAAAATTTAATTTTTTTTTCGCTCTTACCCTCTAAAATGTTTCTATTTAATATAAAAAAAATCCTCACCAAATATGGGCGTTCCAGCTCAACTCTAAGAGGTCGCTGTTTTTATTTTAGTTTCCCATTTAATTAACATGGGAAAAAATAATTTTATGTTTGGAAATTTATACCTGTGTATCAAAGTAACGTATGGCAATGGTCATTGCAGTTTCTTATATAAAATGTAACGCTCTACAAAAAAGGTCTCTTATTATTTTTCGATAAATTGATTTCTTCCGGAGTTATTCGAGGTCAAAGTTTTATTAACATCAAATTTTCTGTTTTTTTTTAATTGTATGGTACAGTTAGCAGACGGAAGGTGAAAAGGGTCAAAACAAGGCAGCGGGGGGAGGCAAAATGGGGTACTACCCAAAAAATTTAATAATTTTTTTTGGTTTCTAAATTATTTGAAAATATATTGACCTCCAAGTTCACGCTTTTAATCGAAAATAATTATTCTGAGCCTGTAGAGCGAGAAAAAGGATGGTACAATTTTGGAAAACTTTTCAGATGCTCATTTTTTGGTTACCCCATTTTGCCCCCCCCCCCGCTGCCTTGTACCATAAAATTAAAAAAAACAGAAAATTTGATGTTAATCAAACCTCGAATAACTATAGAAGAAATCAATTTATCGAAAAATAATAGAAGAGCTTTTTTGTAGAGCGCTACATTTTATATTTTATAAGAAACTGCAATGATCATTGCCATAAGTTACTTTGATACAGAGGTATAAAATTCCAAACATAAAATTATTTTTTCCCATGTTAATTAAATGGGAAACTAAAATAAAAACAGCGACCTCTTGAGATATTTGGTGAGGATTTTTTTTATTTTTTGAAGCACCCTAATACATATACATGTACCTATTAATGGTCTTCCGGGATCTGCTCCGTGTTGTCGGTTTTTGGTTCTTAAAAGAACCGTATGTCTGACGACGTATCGGTACAATCTCATGTACCATCTTCAGGTCATATCTGCTGGGCTGCTGTTGCTGCTTTGCTGCGAGTAAGACGTGGAGGATATATATATATATATATATAAATTAAATAATTATTATATTATATGTATAAAGACTCCATATTATCTAATGGCTGTATGCATGTATGTATATGTAATATATATATATATATATATATATATAACCATTTTAAGAATGTTAGATATCTAGCTTAAAAAACAGTTATTAAAAGTTGTCATTCCTTGGTACAAGACCCTAAAATGTAAAGTAAATTCTTGGGATTTTTGTTTTAAAAAGTGTCAGAAAGGCAGGATACGGGGCCAGCGACTAAACGTCGGAGATGAATTTCCCACGAGGCGGGCTGCTTTACACCGGAAGTGCTTCGCTGCCACCAAAGCGCGCCCCCCCACTTGACAAAACATCACCGAGAATCATTGGCGCACACGTCAATCGATTAAAAACAACACCATCCGAAAATATTTCTCTCGAATTAATTAATATTCCCAACCGAAGCTCAAGATTAGCGAAACGTCCCTATAAATATTTATTCGATGCTTATTTTCTATTGTTGTCTGTTTTGTTTAATTAAAAAATACATAGCTGCGGCGTATTTAGAATTATTTATCCGGTGGAAGGAATAATTAGCCAAAGTCTTGTCTACCAGATTTTTAACTTTTTAAAGTATATATACATTAAGGCCCTAATTAGATAAATATTAGGTATATATCACCCACTTTAGGACAATTATCTTTAAATGCTTAGTACCTAGTTACCTAGTATGTTCTACCTATTACACTGTTAATAACAGTCTGTTATAAAAATCAGATTTGTTATCATAAGTTTGTAGTTTGTTAATTTTATTTTGTAAAATTTTAAAATAATTTTTGGAAGAAAACCTGGTTTTGTAATTTTTTCCCACTGACTATAAGCATCAAAAAGTTCAACAGACTTCAGCGTCTGCAACTTATGTTTTTGCTTACTTTATTCTAATTCGTAACAACTTTATTTAGTGATTATAATATAACATAAATCTGTTATTAATGTTATTCGAATTCCTTCTATCTATATCGCACACTAGTTAAATATATTTAACTAGTGTGCGAAGTATCCGAAGAAAGATGCCATCACTGGTTTTTAAACTAAAATTAGGGGATACAATGAAGTGGGTTAAAGTTACGAAATTCATCAGTAAGTGTTTTAGTAGTACTAATAATTATAATACAAAATTTCTTTATAATTTTATGATTTCAGAATGGTGTGTTATTTAATTGTGTGTATGTTATTTTTCTGTTCATTTATGTAGATATGTTAATTTTTTGTTTAGGAAGTTGATCAGTAAAGCAACATTTCCAACAAATACTTTTGATACTGGGTCTAAAAAGGTTTGTAAAGGTCCTTTTTTTTAAATTACAAGAATTATGGTTAAAATATTGATATAGGATTTAGTTATTAAATCTACAAAATGATTGTTATAATTACAAACTACTTATTTAATTAGTTAACACATTACAGTTATGTGGACCTGGAATAACATAAAATCTGGTTAATATTGGGTTAAAATTAACAAATATTATTTTACTGTGTGTACTATCTTTTAAAATTATCCAAAAAATATACAATAGTTCCAACTATTAAATACCAAATTTGACAGTCTGTAGTTTTATTATTTTTTACCCAATTTAAAAAATAATTATATATAATTATATATATAGCTTTGAGAAAATGCAAATATCTTAATTTGCTCCAGTGCAAGTTTTTGGAAATATGTAGTTCAAAAAATATAAAGTCTTGTCAATTTACGTTTTCTATAAATTAAGACAAATTTTATTTATTATTTGTTATTTTAATTTTTTTTATATAAACCTAAGATAATTTTATCCACTTTTGGGCAATATATTTTTAAATATGCATCGGTACATTTTTTTTAGATAATCTACTAAATATAAAATCTTGTAAATTTCAATAAAGTTAAGATAAACTAACTAAATTTCTAACGTTAGATTCATCAACAAAACATTTCTAACGAAAAATATATGTTTTAATTAACGTTAGTTTTTTTATATAATATTATACATACAGTGAAACTTGCCTAACTTGAATCTAAAGGGACCGGCAAAAAACGAGTTATAGAAATTCGACTTCTAAAAATAAAAATACCCACATGTAAAATGGGCAAAAACGTAAGTGTTAAAAAAATTTAAAAAAATCGTCTTAGGGAAAAATGTTTACGTACATAACAAATTATACCTAAATACAGTGAAACTTCTCTAACTCGAACTTCTATAACGTTATTTTCTACCAGGAAAAAGGCCATCCCAAAACTCTATTTTAGAGTAGGTAATACATTTATCCTCGAATTTATCTTAAGACCATATGCAATTTAGCATATTTAAAAAAAAGACTTTTGTCTAGCTACATTCGCAAAGTGAATCAGTGAGTGTTCCCAAAATAAGCGTCGCAAATTATAAATATTATTATGTTTGTCCGAGTCTAAATTTAATTCGCAAAATTTAAAAGTGGGCCGGAGGAGAATCATCGTAAACATCTCAATTGTTGTTTTAGCCTGTTGCAGACAGCAGGAAATTAATCGTAGACACCCCTTCGGTAAAAATTGCAGTCTGAGTTAGGTTTTACTGTTTGGTAAAGCGTAGAGGCTGCGGCATTTCTAAAATTATATTAAATCACATGCTTGCTAAATTTAGAGCGAAAATGCCTCTTATTAATGTAAACTGCACACAAATTAACAATCAACGGTCATTAAACCAAAAACTGTTTTCAACATTTTTCCTTTACACGCCAAATTGTCTAATCAGCGATTACTTCTTCCGCTACAAACAGGAAATGAAGCCGCGCTCGCCTTATTACTTACTAAATTTATTTATTTTAATCTACAAATTATTCGTTACGTTTATGACATATTTTCGAGCTAGTTTATACTAATAAATACTTAGTGTCGACTTTTTAATTACTCTATTCAAAATGCACACCTAATTCACTTAACAGGTAGGTAAGTAGCGGTATCTATGTTGAAAAGGTAAAAACAACTTTCCCAAACCAAAGAAATCTTTTTCGGTAATCCTAATATGTTTTAGTTCTATCTTGCACACATTTTTGAAAAATTAGATTAATATGCATTTTTTAATAACCTTTTTATTTCATTTTTTTTTGTTTTAGCATATTGCAAAGATCCCAAAGATTATTTTGATGCTTATATTTTTAAAAACTAGAATTGATTTGTCCCTTCTACTTTTGTCAAAAAATTATGGACTACCAATAAATTAATACTACAAAATTTTATTATTTTATTTATAAATATATATATTTTAGTGAGATATTAAAACCTCTCTAGACTGTATAAATTTACTATTTAAAACAATAGACAACTAATTACCACTTTGACACTTGATTTTATTCACTACCGCTATTTGCCACTTGTTCGCATGCATGAGACAGAAAAGACATACAATGTTGGGGAAAGCTTTAATTTTATTAAAAATTATTTAAGATTTCACTTTTTTATTGGCAAAATGATAAATTTAGAAAAAAAAAGCTTTGAAAACATTGGTAAAAATTACAATGATTAAAAATACCGCGTAAAATTGCAATGGCATTACGTGTACGGCAACATAATATTATTTCAAGGAAATGGGCGTGTTTGAATGTGCAAATGTAATCCTTGAAAAACAAACACAAATTCTAGGAAATGTTTAAAGTACCAACTAGTGTCGACACCCTGTCTAATAGGGATTTTCTCTGACAACACGTGTTGTATTTTTTTATTGGGCCCATGTTATTTCAACTCCAGATGGCTTTTTAAAATCATAGGTAATAAAGGAAGGAAACAAACAAAACGAATGCTTGGCAAAATTATTTATTTAATAAGAAAATTGTATGCGCCGAAAGCCTTTTAAGGTAGTGCTAGTATAAAAAATGTATGTATATAATATCTAATACCCTGTCGTACCAATACAAGAAGAACAATATTGAACATTGGGTAACTTTAGGTATAAGCGGCAGTAATATAATATAGGAAAGCTTGACGTGATCAGTCTTTGGTAAAAATTTTCGCGTTCGACACTACTTTAGCCTTTCTAATAAATTTTCCAACCCCCCTCTTCTTTTTCTTCTTCTTTTCGCTGGCTTCTTTATGCTGCTCATCGCAACTCGTCGCGTTTTTTTCCGTGCTATTTTGTTTTATTTTCGACGTATCTGGGAGACTTTTTGATTTTGTCAGTTTTCCTTCTTTTTTCTGTATCGGCCAGTCGACTGCTGTCTGGCGTTTCAACCTTAAAAGTAAGTCATAATAAATTTATGTAGTGGGAATCATTATCTTAAGCATTATCTATATAAAAAAATCTATTATAAGAAGTAAAAATCACGACTAACTTTCAAAAAAATTACGGAAAGTTAAGATTGATAATAGTATACCCATTTGAATTTTTCTTTGTTGCTTTCATATCGTCCTTGTGTTTAATTTTGTCCACTTTTTTCGCATTGCGTTTTTTTCGACATTTTCTTCTGCAAACAATATTAAATAACAAAAAAGAACATATCAAATATATAAAAATTACTTTTGAGGTGACCCCATGAGTTCATGGGGTACAAAAATATCACCCCCAGCACCCCACGAAAGCGGTTCATTACATTCTCTTGTGCCATACCAAATTTTATTTTTTAAGGATAACAATTTTGCTTGAACCTCTGCCAATTGATGAGTTATAGTTGGCGTCTTTTTTTCTGCTTGCTGACTTACTCTAAAAAAATTTTTTTTTAATATTTCACACTGCCTGGGAAGTGAATTTTCGTCGGAGGTTGGGAAATGGTATCATTATTGCTTGGCAATACTTTCCAGAGAGTTTACTAATTACCTATTTATTTGAGGAGTTTTAGATCTTTTATTAGCAGCCGCGCTTTCAAATTTTTGAGGGGGCACAAAATCGTAAACCGATATGCTTCTTTTCTTGACATCTGAATCCGCAATTTCTGTATCGGAATGTTGTTGTTGTCGCTAAAAATAGCACCAATTATTCACTTTATCGTGCAAATTAAATAATTTTTATAAATAAAACCTCGTTGTCTTTTTTATTTTTTGTCATCTTCTTCTTTCTGCGTTTCTTCTTCAGTTTTTTCTCTTTCTTCCTTTTTTCCACCTCAGATTCGCTCTCGGTATCCGAGCTGAAACTATCCTTATCAGTTAAAGATAAACCCAACACAGTTTTGCATATCTAAAAATTAATACATTTTAATTAATTTGCAATAATATAAAAATTAAATTAAATAATTGTCTTAATCAAAACCTTACCAAAATAAATATAATACTGGCTTTTAAGTAACAACTACCCAACGGCGCATTTATTAACTCAAAAAAAGAACACAACAAAAAATTATAAATTGTAAGTCACAATTACGGGCAGCGGCTTCCGATTGGCTAGCGGACTCCTGGTGATCGTTTTTTGTCTGCACGCGGACTGCTGCTGAGCGACGTGCACGATCCTCGTTCGTATCGGTCGTTTCGCGAAACAATTGATCACTTCCGGCGAGGGCGGCGGCACCACGGGCACTCCGTACTCCCGCCCAACCTCGTTTGAAGACGTGCTCGAAGAGTCCCCTTCGTCGCTGAAAAGTTTCAAAATTTAAAACATTTCTGAATCATGAAATAAAATGAAATTATCAAAAAAAGAACAAAATGTTGCTGCACTATTTTAGATTTTCCTAAACTTTGTAAGAATGTTCTTTGGGGTCCCAAAGACGAAAATCTGCGGTGATTTCAATTTCACATGTACCGATCCGCACAACTTAAGGCATTTTTATTTATACTTCACGTTTTAAACTGTTCGATATTTTTAATGCTTGCCTAATATGGCATTTTAAGTTGAAAGATAGGTGGTAGTTTCTGAAATAAAAATATGGAACAATAAAGAATATTAAATTAAAACAACATTCACTTAGTCAGTGTTGGATTTAAACCCCATGTGGGATATAAAGTAACCTTTATTGCTCTCTGAAAAGTCCCCTCATTATTTTCCTTATTTTCAGAATATTTTTGTCGGTCAAAAACTAGAATAATTTTGTATGAATTATTTAAAAATAAGATAAGATCTTCTTTAACTCAACAATACAGGGCAGACATTTTTTTTGCAATGCCCTGTATAAATATTTTTTTACAGTTCGATAGATTGTTTCAAGGTGATTTTAAAATTTGTCATACCTTGACTTTGAGATACAGATAAATAAGTGTTATCATTGTTTTTAGAACCTCTAAAAACAATGGTGTTATATCTATTTTCTACTCCCACCTTTAAAACACCCATTATCGTACATGTTTTCATGACACTATGTGATAAGTTATGGCTTTATGGCGCTTTAGTCACTGGCTGAAGTTAGCAACAGGTTTTTAGTCACGGGCTGAAGTTAGTTTTAAGTAAGTTGACAGTTGTCAAATGTCATACAATCGTTAAAGTAAAATGCGTTGATTGTAAAATACCTAATACTAAATGTGAAAATTAATGTATTATTTATTAATTATTAAAAATACAAAAGTTTCTTGACGCCAATATTTAAAAAGATTATATGAACGTTTGATTTCGCCATAGTAGTGCAGTTAACTAGATATAACTGATAGAGCGTTAAAATTTTGTGCCCATAAAACATTCTCATATCTTTTAGTGTGGAAAACTGCTTCTATATCAATTGTTAGTCAATTGACAAGGAATAAATTTTGATTTACACATACAAATTTGAGATTTTAACTCATGTAGATTCCCACGTTAGAAGTTCTAACGGGAATTCCAATAAACTGTCACTTTTTGTAGCTTTAACATTTCCCGTTCAAAAAAGATTAAAACTTTGTGATACTATTTTGCAATTATAGTAATAAAAAAATCAAAGGAAAAAATAGTTTCTTAGCAATCATATTTTAAAGTATTAATAATTTTTAAGTTTAATTAAAATAATAATGTTCATGGTGAAAATTACGTCAAAAATGTTTATTGGGATGGTTACTTTATTTTTAAATATTTAGTTTACATAATTTTTTAGATAATATTAAGTATTTGTCGTAGAAAAAGTAAAGTATACTTATACAAGTAGTATACATATATGCAACTCGTTTATAAACTTTTCTAGAAACTCATTTAATTAAGCACTCGCTCGCAAGCTTGCTCGTGCCTAAATTAAATTGGTGACTAAAATGGCCTTTATAAAACTTGATACATAAAATAATATTAAATTCACCTGGAGACAACCCATCTAATTGTTGTAAATAAATAGGGCTAAAGTTATTTAATAGCCCTGTAGTTTTTAGATAAAGAAAACATAATCTCATTAAAAAAATTAATAAAAAATACAGCGAGAATAAAGAAAATAATGAGGTCAACTTTAAGCACCCTGTATACAGATTGTTTATTTTTAGAGGCTAAGTATGGGTATCTCCGTCATCTTATCTCGGCAGTTTTAAAAACTAGCACTAATATTTTGTCAGATTTAAATTTTTCTTAAAAAATTAACGTGTCTGAATTAGAAAAGGGCACCTTCAACTGTTTTTTAAATAAAATGTTTTTTAAAATAATAATAAAAACTATAAATTCTCGTTTTTACGATATCTCGAAAACAAGTCAAAGTTTATTGATCGGCATAAAAATGCGCAACTTGTTCCTAATTTAACCAACTATGTATCTCTAAAGATAATTATCGCTTTTAAGCGACATACTTATGCTTAGCCTAAAAAGCTGACACGCTGTATATGTGCCAAAAATCAAAATGCTGCAGCATTACATGTAAATAGAAGAATTAACTAGAAGATATAGAAGTATAAATAAATATAAATAATACTAAAACGTATCATTTCTTGCACAAGGTATAATTTCTAATTTATTAAAAATAAATACATACTAAACATATTTTGTTTAATTAAAATAAAAAAAGGTAGTATATTTTAAATCCAACTTAATAAATACAACATTGCAACTAAGTAAATATTATTTTATTCTAAAACGCTGAAATATAGAAGATTATGCTACTATATTTTAGAAGCATAAAAGATGTAAGATTTTTGTTAAATATAGGCCTGATAACCATGTGACGCGATTCAAGAAAAGAGACCTAGCGTCCAAAAATCAAATTGTACAGGAGATGCGCTTGAATTTCGCGCGGCATATGTGTTTATGTAGTAACGCCCGATTTCAAAAATTAGAAATGAAAATTTTTAGATTAACAAATTCTATCTGGAACTTGATTGATCTGAAAGATTGATTTTAAGAGTATTGTCAAAAATGGCAAATGCGCCGGGGTTACTTTAAAACTAATAATTAAGTATTATCTATAATTTTTATTTTTTTAAATTAATTGTTAGATTACTTGCCATAATAACACATATTCTGTAAAAATATCAACTGGCTACCTAGGGTAGATTTATTTTTCTCGTGCGCTAGTTCTGGTCCGCACTAAATAAAGCATACCTATAAATGTATATATATTAGGGTGTCCCTTATTTTTTTTTTTTTTCACGCATACCCCCTAATTATATTTATTACGTGTTTATATACTCCCAAAAAAATTTTTAGCTCATTCTATAAACGGGAACCCGTGCCGACTTGCATCTGAACCCTCCGTTAGCCAACGTCAGGCGCGCGGTATTTTGTAACACGGTTGGTCGCGAGGTCTTCGATCGTAAGTCATTTTGTGTTTGTTATTATGTGACCCTTATATTATAAATTATTAAAATGTTAAAATATAGTTTTATTCATGTGTATACTTTGATAAAAATGTATATTTTCACAGGGAGTAGCTAGTTACAGGGAAGGGTCTATTGAATAGGCCGTAAACTCTGAAATTGATAAACTTAATGGGTTTTACTCTAAATAACTAAAAGAGTCTATTGTGGGAGATGACTACCGAAAACTTATTGAACTGTCTGAAATATTTTTGGGAGGACATCAAGAAAAGAAATGCTTATAAAAAGCTGAAATTTCATATAACAGTATATTTTAGCAATACTAATTAGTATATTAATATATTTAAGGGATAAAATCAACTAAATTAGTGAAACAAATGATAGAAACAAAAGCAATAATATTAATTAGTAATCATATTTAATGAAATCATTAGAAAAATACAGTCAGGAAGTATATCTTCTTTTTAAAGTGTTTCGTGTTACAAAATACCGCGCGCGCCTGACGTTGGCTAACGGAGGGTTCAGATGCAAGTCGGCACGGGTTCCTGTTTATAGAATGAGCTAAAAATTTTTTTGAGAGTATATAAACACGTAATAAATATAATTAGGAGGTATGCGTGAAAAAAAAAATAAGGGACACCCTAATATATATATATATTTACCTATGTAGGTATATATTTTTAATTAAATTTTTAAATTTTAGAATTAGGTCGCAGCCGTAGGACAGCCAGATAGACGGTGTAGGCTTCCATTCTTTGGGTACGGAACCGTATAAATAATGCTAAAATTTGAAAATTTAATCATCGCGGATATCCGCTTGGGAATCCCAAACATTTTCAGAAAGTTTTAGTAAAATCTAATATCGGCTGGCTTCTCCGATTCAATGATTTTATATGGTAAGTCAAATTTGTTATATTTTTCAAATAAAATGAAGACTTATTTGGTGGTTATTTTGTGAAAGGATGTGTGACATTCATTTACCTATTTAATCTAAAATGTGTACCTAGAACTTATTAAGGCAGTGTAGAAGTTATTTTGTAGTGGATTTTTTGGTGTGCTTAAGCTTTTTTATACGCCTGCGTCTGGAAAATGTTTGAAAATATTTGTAAAAAATTTTTTTTATATAAACAAAAATAAATAGTAAATTTTACAAAATTATTACCTCGAATAATCGCTTAGCCTAATGTTAGTGGGTTCATCAGCATTAGATCCTTCTTGGAAAAGCCTCTCGACAATTTTTACGCGCAATTTCTCCTAAAAAAATAAAACACAAATTAATTTCAAAAATTTATTACTCATACATCAGAATTTTTAGTAAGGCAAAACAAAGCATGTTAGAATATAGCCCAAAATCACAAAACAAACAATTTTCGCGATCAATCGTACCTTTCTGGGGTCTTCATCGTAATAGTCCAGAAGCGTTTGACAAAAAGACCGCCCCATCTGCTCGTAATCCTGCGTACTGAAATGGGTTTCGTTTCTGGCACCCAGCGTGGAACCAGCAAACGAAGCCTCCATGGTGTAGCTGTTTGATATACCCATCATCCACATCACTACTCTTCCGGTGCCTTCTTTTGCTTTCTGAATTCTAAACGTACAAGATTCGAAGGAAAACTACAACAACAAAATCAGTGTTTATTGCTGCAAATAGAATAACTTACTTTGTCAGCAGTATTTTTGTGTAGCATCAAAGGAAAAACTTGTTCTTGCAAAGTTCTATCGGAACCCCTCCTACTTTCGCACCCATATATAAAAATATTATGTCGTCTTGAATGCGCGTGAAAATCGCAATACATTGCAACCCCACAATCTTCCAACAACCTCCTAACCATCAACTTTGTGTACCAAATAGACGGATACGCATCTCTCATAACAGTTCTATACTGTCGATTCAAATCTTTCGCTGCCAATGAACACCTGTTATTCCCGACTATAACGCCATCGGGGTTCAACATGGGTACGATTTTAAAGATGAATTTATCGCGTAATTCTTTAGCAGCAGTACTGTCTCCGGTTAAAAAGTCCAGGGCCCCCTTCATCATCCAGGACGCCGGAGTCTCTCCAGGGTGCACTCTACCGCTCAAAACCACAGCCCTCTTCTTCTAAAACAAGATTAGTACAGACAATGTTTGTATGTACCTACTTAATGATATGTACTTTAGTGTCTCCAGAGTTTGGGGGACTCGTTATTGTAACATAGTAAACATTATTCCCAGCCAAACTTTTGCAGAGCAATCGTACTGAAGTAAAAACGGATTTGACTGGATGCACGGAGATTTCCTGCAAATAATCTTGCAAATCCGAATAGGTGTAAGGATAACAGTGCGCGATGTAAACCTCGTCTTTGTCGTGCGGAAACTCCATGGTAAAGGAGAGAGTGTAGGTCATCATTTGGTCTGGATCTTCGGGAGTGACGTTTTCGTTAGAGTAGTAAGTGATGTTTTCTCCGCAACGTCTCCAACCGATCGAATGCAATTGCGAGCCCTTAGTGGAATACATTAACGGCCTCATTCCTTCGTTATATAGACTATTTTCTTTGGAACAGTTTACAATGGAAAACCTGAAAGGCAATTATTTGTTTGACCCAATTTCACAAACTAATTTCCTAACTAGTTACCTGTATAAAAAGTGTTTTTTCATGTTGGAAACCTTAAAATAGAACCACTGCATGTGCCTGTTGGTGTACAGATCTGATCGTAACTGAAGCTCGTAATAATTTGGCGTTATTCTGATGGCTCTCGCCAAATTTCCACATTCGAAACGCGACTCGAATTTTAAAGAATCTTCTTCTGGACATAGATTCGTCGATAGTAAATATTTGCTACCGCCTACACTTGATCTGCTAAACTAAAAATTAAACTACTAATAAGGCTTCCTTATTGTTTAAAAAAAAAAATCATACATAGCTCACGGCACTTATTGGGATGTATTGAAAAACTATTATCCCGCACTCATCCCCAACAGGTTTAGGTTGTACTTCATCACCGGTTACATTGTAATAAGGCTCCAATGAAGGTGATGTATAATTTATATGTTGTATTCGCTCGTCCAACACCTAACAATAAAGAAAATATCACAATTATTTAAGTATTTTTTCCTTACTTGGCATTCTGTTGGCCACCGAGGAGGCTGGGCAGTAAAAGAGTTGTCCTTCACATTGCTATAACTCAAACTCAAAGTTTCTTTAATTTTGTTTTTGTAGTCTTCGTCATCTTCAGCATACGGTCGATTTTTTAGTAAGAAATTTGAAAAAAAGCTCGCTGTATTGGTAAAATGTAAAGGGAATAAGGAAGCTTGCAGTGATTTTACATGACTTTCTGCAAAAAATCAAAATTACACAAAATAATTAACTATCCCGAGTTCACTAACCTTTTTTGTCACTTTCATTTTCAACGCTCATTTTACCGGGACACAAAATAAAAAAATGTAGGTATTTTTTTGAAAATATTCACGCACCACGTGACAATTCTTGAATCATCTGTTCTTATCCATGATTTTTTGAAAAAAATCGACACTTTCACTGAAAAATCGTTTGTTGTTAGTGACAGTCGCGATAAGTCTTAACGACAAGACAAGAACTTATTATTTCCATGGTTATAATAAATCGATAAGGGAAAACTTACTTCTTACTCTCGATTAATATGCACTCGCGGAAAAATAATCAATTTTTTTCATATCCACCACTTTCTTTACCTATATAGATACCTAACTGAGCCTAAAACTTCTAGGTGTTATTAAAGCTACTGGCAATTTAAAATTTGGCAAGTATTTTCAAATTTCGCAATAAATATGCCTTATTTTATTTATCTTTGCCATTTTATTTTAAAAATAAACCAAGAACAAAGGATGCACTTGGCTATAAAATGTTAAGATAATTATCTTAAGCTAATTAAGCCAAAAAAATTGGGCTCATTTATTTTTTCTATACAGTTTTTAAAATAACTAAATTTAAGTTATCAAAAAATAATAAAACTAATAAAGATGTTACTTACCCCTTTTATCGAAAAAATAAAAAAAAATAAAAAACAGAAAAATGTTGATCAACAGGTGATAAAAACAGTTTAATTCATAAAGATAATGATTTGTGCGCTGTTTCTTATAAATTGAAAATACTGAAAATCTAATAAATTTTAAGGTTGGCGAAGTATCTGACGCGAAAATTTTGGAATCGCACCAAGAATATTCGCATTAAAAAAAATTTATAGTGTTTTCGGTGAGAGAGTGAGTCAGTGGCATTGACTCAATGTTTTTGAAAAATTCGTAAATAACGTATATACCTATATGATATATAATATTATTATCGTCTATAGATCGACAATAATTATAGATTTTTTTATTTTACACATTCTTAACACACAATGTTGCTATAATAATAAAATATTATTGGAATAGTGCTTTGTGCTACCACTTATTTTTGTTGGTCTATAAATATACCATTCCATTATAATATTTTCTATAACATGAAATCGATGACTATTGTTAGACAAATTTCTGAATAAAAACTGAATTAAAATCAAATGTAAGATCAATTGTTTATTACTTCCTTATAATATTGAACATATTATGTTAATTTAATTACCAATAATACTAATTTCCTTTTATTAAACTGTTTAATCTAAACATAACGAGACCTCGCGAGGGTTACGATATTAAAAATGAAGAATTGCTTTGTAAAGTATGCAATCCAGTATACACAAACATGTTTTTAAGTTGCATAACTTATTGTTAACTGTGTTGCCTTTAATGAATTTGAATTTTATCTTTAGAAAAAAAGGATTTTTTTTTATTTTTACAACTATTTTTTGAGCAGAATTATCTTATTTATATAATTTTTTTCATAGACGCGGTTATTCCCCTGGTTCTAAACATATCAACAAAAACGTAACCTCAATTTCGCTGATATTATTGTTAAACAAATGCCGATCGGATTTATCATCAAAATCAAGATAAATATATAGTGTTTTTTATTTTGGCGAACATGGGGCGTAAAGCAACAATTGCTTGTGCGACGTTAAATCAGTGGGCGCTAGATTTCGAGGGGAATCGCGACAGAATTTTGCAGTCAATTTTGGAGGCAAAAGAATTGGGGGCCAGTTTTAGAACCGGGCCCGAGTTGGAAATAAGGTGATAAAATTATAGTTATAGATTACTTGAAAAGTAACTTTCGTATTTCTTGTAGTGGTTACAATTGTCAGGACCACTTTCACGAAAGTGATACTTTTTTGCACTGTTGGGAGGTGCTATCTGAACTACTCACAGCCCCGATATGCAAAGATATCTTAATAGACATTGGTATGCCTGTAATGCACAAAAACGTGGCTTACAATTGCAGGGTTGTTTTTTTAAACTGCAAAATATTACTTATAAGACCAAAAAAATTAATGTGTGATGATGGCAACTACAGGGAGACTCGTTGGTTTACAAGCTGGAAAAAAGAAAAGGAAACCGAACTTTATTATTTACCGAGAATGATTAGTAAAATAACTGGACAAAAAGAAGTTCCATTTGGTGATGCAGTTATATCCACAAGAGATACTTGCATTGGTTTTGAAATTTGCGAGGAATTGTGGTCAGCACGGAGCAACCACATCGATTTATCTTTGGATGGTGTGGAAATTATATGCAATAGTTCTGGGAGTCACACAGAGCTGAGAAAGGGTTATGTAACCGTTGATTTGGTAAAAAATGCAACAATGAAAGCAGGTGGTTGTTACATTTTCAGTAATTTAAGGGGGTGTGATGGTGAAAGGGTTTATTTTAATGGGTTGTCTTCTATTGCATTAAATGGAGAGATGATTAGTATTGCCAAACAGTTTTCTTTGGAGGAAGTTGTAAGTTGGACTAAATAATTATATTTGTTTGCCTATTCTTTGTATTTTTAGGAAGTAATAATTGCTACAGTAGATTTAGAAGACATCAGAACATACAGAAACGCAAAAAGATCACATGCAAATCTATCATCAAGTTCCAAGGCATTCCCAAGAATTTTTGTTGATTTTTCTCTATCCCCTGAACAGGATGCAACACTGCCAACTGCAAGCCCTATTGAATGGGTCAGCTTAAAGCCTGAGGAAGAAATAGCTTTGGTAAAATACATACAAAAACTCAAAAAATCATATTAATTGTAATTTTAGGGGCCAGCTTGCTGGTTATGGGACTATCTTAGACGTTCAGGCCAAGGTGGATTTTTTCTGCCACTTAGTGGGGGTATAGATTCTTCCAGCACAGCTCTAATTGTGTATTCCATGTGCAGATTAATTATTGAGCTCATACAAAAAGGAGGTAAGTCAATAAATTTGATTTTTAATGATTATGAGACAGGCACAATCCACACAAAAAGGTCTGTTCTATCTCGTACTAAAAATACTAAAAATCACTGCAACACTGCACAGTTTAACGGCGGCCATTTTTGTTGTTTACAATTTTTGTGCTTTGGGTTTGTGCTCTGTTTATACAGATTAATAATCGTTTGACGCAATTTTATTCTTATTCTCACGCGGTGACGTCACTAATTATAATCCGTTTTTGTTCCCAGAGCGTTTAATATTTGATAACAAGCTAGATGGCTCCGATGGTAGGGCGGGCGCTTGGCATGAGAGAGGTCCCGGGTTCGATTCTAAGAACTTTTTTTATTTCATAAATTTGTTGTTTCTTTGTTAAACAGTGTTCGGTTGGGTTGGGTTTGTTAATTTGTTTTAGTTTTATCGTAACATAAAATCTACCAGAAGTTGTCGAACTTTTTTTTTCATAAATTTGTTGTTCCTTTGTTAATGTGTTTTATTTTTATCGTAACATAAATTTGCCCATTTTAGTTGGGTTTTTTGCTCAATGGGGCGGGGTCGGTTGGGTTGTGTTGTTGAGTTTGGGTTGGTTTGGCTGCAGTAAAAGAGTCTCGATTTTATTATTAGTAAATTTTATTACATTTGCATAATCAAATCAAATGACATAATCAAATGGTTGTCCTTAGCACTTAAAGGCCTTATTTGAGGCTTACAAGTGCCTCTGTAAGAAACACAACGTTTAAAACAATTATTAAACAGCACAAACCCAAAGCACAAGAATTGTAAACAACAAAAATGGCCGCCGTTAAACTCTGTGCAGTGTTGCAGTAATTTTTAGTATTTTTAGCATGAGATAGAACCACAGACCACCAAAACAAATTGTAAAAGTTTATAACAAACAAATTGTAAGAGTTAATATTATAGATGGCAGATGCTCGAGCGCTTTGCAAAGCGCTCATAAGCGCTAATAAATGCTCGAGCATTTATAAACGATGAAATTATATATATATATATATATATATATATATATATATATATAATTATAAAAAAATTATTGAAAAAAAAAGCCAACAAAACAAAGGTAAGTAAACCATTTTGGAGTTGGATACACCTGCACCACATGTTTTGATGTAAACAGTAGTTATTTGTTGGTTAATTTATATCCCCGCTTTTAGTTTTGGCGCCAAATTAAAACATGGAGCAGTTTGGTAAATGCTCCAGCATTTATTTATACGCGCTGTAGCATTTATGAGCACTTATGAGTGCTTTTAAAAGTGGTCATCCTTCTCTAGTTAATATTATTGGTACATTAATAATTTAAAAAAACAGTTAGGTATATTTAAGAAGTTGATTTAAGTTAAGAAGGTAAAACCTTAAAAACCCACATATACAATCCAGACATGCATCACGTTGGTACATTTGGCGTTTTCAACTTAAAAAATATATAATCTTCCAATTTTTTTTTTTAAATAGTGATATTATTTATACGAAGGCGTAGAAGGGACACAGCACAAAAAAAAATAATTAATTTTAAAATTTCGAGTTATAAGTCGAAATTTTAGGGTAAAATTTCGAATTAAATCTCGAAATTTTAAAATTTCGTGTTATAAGTCGAAATTTTAGGGTAAATTTTGGAGTTATAACACGAAATTTTAAAATTTCAAGTTATAACTCGAAATTTTAGGTTAAAATTTCGACTTGTATCTCGAAATTTTAAAATTTCTAGTTATAACTCGAAAATTTACCCTAAAATTTATATTTATTAGCTTTACTTTGCAAGAAAAATTAAAATCGCGTATGTAGCCTTTGTGGAGATATACACTTAAATGTATTTTTTTTATAAATTAATGCGCAACAGTAACTCCAGTGGAAACCTAAAGCAGCAGAGCCGCAACAGCAGCCCAGTAAATAAAACCTAAAGAGGGTACATGAGATTGTACCGAAACGTCGTCAGACGGTTCTTTTAAGAAACAAAAACCGACAACACAGAGCAGATCCTGGAAAACCATCAATACATATAACGCCCGTGAAAACCTAAAGCAGAACATTGATCTCGTTAATTTGCGTGGAGTTTTGGTGGTTGTGAGAGCTGGTTTTTATGTAGTTGGTAGTCTCAGTGTATCGTCTCTTGTGTTGAGGTTTCTTGGTCCTGTGTTCGATGCTAGCCAAGACCCTTGTTTTTTCAAAGTCAATTTCATGGGAAGTTTTTCGGACGTGTTCAGCTGAGGAAGATTTTTTTATTGTTTCTAGACTGCGTTACGATGTTCTTCGAGTCTAACGTTGATACGTCTATTCCCTATTAAAAATGCCCTATAGAACCCATATTGATCCAGATAAGGAAACTAATATGGATTTATATGGTTCTATATGTCCTATATGGAACGACCTGGTTTACACTTTGGAATCTATATGGTTTAATATGGAATTTCATTTTAAAATGTATAACTTAGGGATTTTTATATGGATTTATCTGGTTTCTGTTTTATGTGTCTTTCCATATAGGTTTCCCTATATGTTTGAATATGGAATTCCATTTTAAAATGTATATATATTTAAACGAAAATTGCATATTAAACCATATAGATTCCCCTATATGATTAAATATGGATCTATATGGTAATAATTTTTTTCACACCCAAACCATATTGGGCCAGATAGAGCAATATGAACCTATATGGCAATCCATATAGAAATCACTTTTCTATATGGTTTTCCAGGTATGGAATTCTATCTGGTTCAATAGTGCAATGCCTGTTTCAAATTCCTATATTGAACCAGATAGAACCATATAGATTTTTATTTTGTGTTTCTATTTGGCATTTTTAATAGACCAATTGGTCTGTCCCACGTAGCTTCCGTCACAATTCTTACAAGGAATTTCGTACACCCCTTGTGCCTCCAACTCTATTTTTGGTTTGGCGTATTTGACCGATTTTTTTGGGGCGGTATACCGCCCCAAAAAAGATCGGTTATAAATGTTGTCTCAATGTTATGTTTTTAAGAACTTTGCCTATTCTCTCGGTTGTCCCTTTCACGTAGGGAAGGAAGGTCATCGAAGTTGGTTTGTTGTATTCGTCCTCTTTGGTATTTAACCGGCGTCGTGGTCTAAGAGCCTTTTTGATGATGGTTTTGCAGAATCTGTTTTGCTGTAGCGTCGTTTGGATTTTCAGGTCTTCTTTTTTCTTGTGGTCATCATCCGCCAGCCTTTCGGATCTCGTGACAAGTGTCTTAATGACTGACTGCAGCTGTGACGGGTGGTGGTGAGACTGGGCTTCTGCCCTAGTTTGCCATTATTTTTCTTGATTATGAAGACATCCAGAAAAGGTAATTGGTGTTCTTTCTCGGTTTCCATAATGGAAATTCCATTGTGAACTTAATCTTTTTGGGAATTCTGTTGAGATGGTCCAGGAATTTCTTCAGTTCCGCTTCTCCGTGGGTCCAGATGATAAATGTGTCTCCTACGTACCGTAGCCATTAGGATGTGTCATTTTTGAGCAACTTTTTTTTTCAGCTAAAAAACAGGCTAAAAACTTTCAGGAAGGTGAAAAAAGAAACCTCTAAAAATTTGAGCTCTAGACACCACTTAATGTTAGGAACAGCTGTTCCTAACTTTCCATTTTCCATTTAAATAACATGGAAATTTTTGTTTTCTTTTTTCTTATTTTTGTAGCTTGATATTTGAGCATTGTAAAAACGAACTGAAAAATTATTTTGGTAGGAAATTAAACGCTCTACAAAAAAGTTTCAATTTATTTTTTCATAGAGTGAGCCGTTCTGAAGGTATTTAAACTTAAAGTTGCCTTTAACAATCACGTTAGCGTGCCTCTAGTCACTGTGCAATCCGAACGGTAATATACCGACTGAGCCGATATAATCTTTTATCAGAGTTATCGACTTTAGTTGAGGTAAAATTATAAAAAATAAAGAAAGATTAAAAATTCAATGCAATAACAAATTCATTGTTTTATTTAATCTATTATAATTATTGAACAAATTTATTGAACACAAATAACTTTTTTTGATAGTAAATAAAATAAAATGGAAAAAAATTGAGATGTTAGTGTTATTTTCTTTCTATACGAAAATAACTATTTTTCCTTAAAATAATTTTTAAGAAATAAAAAAAGTATTAGTTTAATAAAATAAAAGTCATAATTTCATACATTTGCAAGTTTGAATACCTTCAGAACGGCTTACTCTATGAAAAAATAAATTAGAACTTTTTTGTAGAGCGTTCAATTTCCTACCAAAATAATTTTTCAGTTCGTTTTTACTATGCTTAAATGTCAAGCTACAAAAATAAGAAAAAAGAATTTTTCTTTCCATGTTATTTAAATGGAAAATGGAAAGTTAGGAACAGGCACCACTTAATGTTATTATTAAGAGCTCAAATTTTTAGAGGCTTCTTTTTTCACCTTCCTGAAAGTTTTTAGCCTGTTTTTCAGTTGAAAAAAAAAGTTGCTAAAAAATGACACACCCTAGTAGCCATAACTTTGATTATAGTTTTGCCGTTTCGATTGCTCGTACTTCTATGTCTTCTATGAATAAGTTGGCTATTGCTGGCGATATTGGGAAATTGACTTTGAAAAAACAAGGGTCTTGGCTAGCATCGAATACAGAACCATTAAATTAGAAAAATGTCCAAAAAACCTCAACACAAGAGGCGATACACAGAGACTAAGCTTACTGTTGCAAATTAATTTATAAAAAAATACATTTAAGTGTATATCTTTACAACGGCTTCATAAGCGATTTTAATTTTTCTTGCAAAGTAAAGCTAATATTATCATTATTTAAAAAAAAAATTGGAAGATTATACCTATATTTTTTGAGTTGAAAACGCCAAATGTACCAACGTGGCATTTGTGTCGCACATCTCAACAATATAAATAATCAAAAATCAAAGAAATCAATATAAATATAATCAATTATTTTATCAAATTGCTAATTGTTATGTCTGACGGTGCAACTTCTCCAGGTCGCCGCGATTTTTTGGGGTTCACACGGTGCAACTAATTAGCTGATCTAACTTGTCCTAAAATAGAACATGTTCTATTTTCATTCGAATGTGGTACGTATATGCTTTATTGATCAATAAAGCATATACGTACCACAGTATTATACTGTAATAGTAGTAGTAAGTATATGCAATACTTACAATTGCGGCGACTTAGTAACTTTTGTAGAGATTTACGAATTTTCAATAAATATTTTGCTTGGTACTCAATATTTATCTGCTGTGGAGTAACAGATGAGTTTTATCTTGTGATTTACGTTTATAATCTATGCGTTTCTTTATTTACATGTATGTAAAAATAAACCAAACAGGCTTATGGGGTTTATCTAGGTTTTCTACACGCTCTTTTTAATGTTTATTTTCACTGAAATTTTTCAGAATAGGAACTACCAAAACTTGCGTATTTGGTCTTTTTGGAACGACCCCTCAAGTGGTCGGCCAGATGAGAATCATAAATAACCATAGCATAATAAACAAAATTAAAAGTTTATCGAATTGTATATCTAACACATAATACAATTTTAAAACAAATATTTAAAATTTAATCTCATCTTTCGTAAAGCCTAATCTCATATTTCGTAAAGCCTACAAACTACAAAATGTTGAAAATTAACTGCCCCATGTGTCGTGCCCTTTACAAGTTATAGAGCTTTGAAGTTGACCATTATTTTTCTTCAGATTCCAAAGTGTTATCAGACCTCAGAAAAATAACTGGTGATCAAGAGTATACACCAAAATCCGCAAGTGATTTATGTAACAGAATTTTAGTAACTTGTTACATGGGTACAGAAAATTCCTCAAAGGAAACCAAACAAAGGGCATCACAACTTTCAGCTTCAATTGGAAGGTATTTTTTATCATATAACAAAAAAGAACAAAACATTTTATTAAACTTTTTAGTTATCACATGAATATCATCGTAGACAAAGCCGTAAGCGCCGTACTGGAAATATTCAGCACAGTAACGGGTATGTTTCCGAAATTCGCTGTTAACGGAGGGTGCCCCAGGCAAAATTTGGCCCTGCAAAACATACAGGCCCGGCTTCGTATGGTTTTAAGTTATTTGTTTGCACAATTAATGTTGTGGGTGAGAGGCAGACCCGGAGGATTACTCGTGCTTGGGTCTGCAAACGTTGACGAAGCACTAAGGGGTATAAAATGTTTTTTTTGTTTTTGTACAAATTGTGTACCTATTTAAAATATATTTTTTGTAGGATATATGACGAAATACGACTGCTCAAGCGCAGATATAAATCCCATAGGAGGCATATCAAAAACCGACTTAAGAATGTTCATGAACTACGCGAAAATTGAGTTTAATATTCCCATAGTAGGCGAGATTATCACCGCGCCCCCTACGGCCGAATTGGAACCGTTGAAACAGGGCCGGCTCGCCCAAACCGACGAGCAGGATATGGGAATGACTTATGCTGAATTAAGCCAGTTTGGACGGTAAAAAAATGTTGAAAATTTTCAAGAAAATGTGTTACGTTTTTTTTATTATTTTAGATTGAGAAAAATTCAACGGTGTGGACCGTATTCAATGTATTGCAAGTTAGTGCAGACTTGGTCCAAGGATTATACTGCCAAACAGGTGGCTGAAAAAGTTAAGCACTTTTTTAGGTAAATATTTTGTTTCTAAACTTTTTTAAATTCATCTCATAAAATAAAATTTGTTCTCTTTTTCTAAAAATGGTATTTACAAATTTTAAGGTGTTATGCAATAAATAGACACAAAATGACAGTTTTGACTCCTTCATATCATGCGGAAGCATACAGTCCAGATGATAACCGATTTGATCACCGGCCCTTTTTATACCGGGCGAACTGGTCCTGGCAGTTTAGAGCAATAGACAAACAGGTATGTATTTTTTTACTTTTAGTTTTTTTGGATCATTTAAAAAGTATTAAGTCTTAATTTTAACGTTTTTAAACGTAAATTGACAGTGTATCTCCCAAAATTAGTACTGGAACATAATATAATATTATAAAGAAACACACCTATTTAAAAAAAATATTAGTGCATAAAATTATCCAACCTTTAAAGTCGTTATTTTTTAAATTGAGTTCAAAATAATAAAACTGCAAATTGTCAAAGTTGGTCTTAATTTTAAAAGAACCAAACTTGAACGACGATAATTTGTGAAATTACCACTGGAGCATTTTAAGATGTTTACATTTTCTAAAAGTGGATATCATATGAAATTATCTAATATTGAGGTAATTTTTTTTAATTGGGTATAAAATAACAAAACAACATACTTTTAAAGTTTGTATTAATTTAAAAAAAAACTAAAATTGACCCGACTATTTTGTGAATTATCTCGTTAATTAAGTAAGTACTGGAATTATAAAGATATTTATATTTTCTCAGTGTATGAAATTATAAACATTTAAAGTAATTATTTTGAAATTGGGTAAAAAATAACAAAACTACAGATTGTCAAAATTGGTTTTAATTTTAAGAGAACTAAAATTTACACATTATATTTTGTGAGTAATCTCAAAAATTAATATTGGGGCATATTAGGATATTTACATTTTTCCTAAGTATAATTATAATTATTTTCTTATTGCATAGGTGGAATATCAGGTCAGCCAAAAGAGACTTATGCAACCTTCTACAGGAGCCAATAAAAAATTAGATAGTATAAGAACAGGTGTAACAGTTTAGTAATTCAAAAAAATATATAGTAATTATTGTTTTTATAAAAGCTCCTTACTTAAAAATACCTACCTTACCAAGTCCTATCATAATTTTTTTAAGGTAGGTATGGGTTAGTAATTATAAATAAAACTGCAATGTCATATAATTATGTATATAATTTATTAATTGAATAACAATCGTTAGGAAAATACATATTTTGATCTACATTATAACATTAAGTGATATTGGAAGAAAGGTTATGAATACAAACAATTAAAGCTAATAATTTTTTTAAAGAAAAGCAGTTTTACAAACACTACTCAGTTCTATACAAAATAATATTTATACAAAATTCTAGCTGATTTGAATACTGTGATGTGAGTGTGAGATGGGGGGGAGTAAAAAAAGATAAATTATATAATTCTTGTGTCAACATTTCATAGGTACACTGGCAAATAAAATTAAATAGTACAACCAACAATGTCAAACAAAATTAGTTCAACTATAAGATTAATAAAAAAAGGTACTTATAGTAGATAAATCCTAAATAACTTTTTTATATATACAAAAAACACAACATTCATACAAAAAATACAAAATATTAACAATTTCTCACTTTCAACAAGACTAAGTACAAAAAGTATTGCATAGTGTTGTTCGTTGTCAATGAAAAACAAATAATTCCTCCAATGAAATACAATAAGAGAGAATGTAAAATCATAATTCTGTAGCACCATAGGCTTATTTTTAATTAATTATTAATTAAATCTATGAAGCACCAGATGATCCAGGAACGTGTTAAAGTTCAGAATTAACTTTAAACCTTAACCTTTTTAATTTAAGAAAGAGAAAAAGTAATTCTCTACGTCTAAGTGATATATAAATAAATATAAAAACACGATGGTGAGAAGAGATTTTTCATTCTAAATTCTAACTACGTTCCAGAGTAAGTAGTACATAAGTCTATACAGTTGAACTTAAGCTAACTTACAAAATTAATTAAACCCAGTTCCTGCCACCTTGATTGCACAATAAACCCGATTTTAATTATGTTCCTTTGTTTCTTACGTTCATCGTACGCTCAAGTCCCAAGAATTCCTCTCGGATACGTAAGGTGACTTTTCAGAGACGCAGACGAAGACGTTTTACTTTCCATTTCCTGCAGATCGTCAATTAAGTTATCCGTCAGTTGAGTCAGTGAGAGACATAATAATACTTTATCACAGAAGAGAATTAAAAAAGACAAACAAATCTACTTTATGTAAACAGAATGGACGGCGGCGGTCTACTATATGTATAAATATCTAAATAAATAATAAATATGGCGACGGTTCTCTCTTTATTTTGCGAACCATCGCTCGGAAGTAGTAGAGATAAGTGTTGAGTGAGAGTCGTAAGCATCCATTAGATAACTTATGTACGTACTTGCAGAAGCATGTTAGCAAAGTTCGAGTTGGTGAATTTAAAGTGGCGTTTGTCGTAGAACTTGAGCAGGGCCGGACTGTACGGATGCTTTTCTTTCAGGTGCAAATAGTGCACCTCGGGCTCGTTGGTGGTGTGTCCGCATTCCTCGCAAACGTACACCTTGGTTCTCCTCTCTTTGTACGCGTACGCGTGTTGCACGCCGTGGACTTTTAGGCAGTGAGATTCCAGGGAACACCGCTGCGTGAAGCTCTTCTCGCACAGGCTGCACTTGTACGGTCTCACTCCTGAAATCAACAAAAAACATTACAATCTTGAACAGCCCTATTTACTAGTTTGTTCAATAAGTCCATGGACTAGCAACTAGATAGTGCTACAAATAAAACAAATAACTGATGCGCAGAACAGTAAACCACTTATACTTAATTCATGTGCAGAATACAGTTCCTGACACTTTTTACCCATTGATGTAACAAAACTAACTATTGCTGTTGTTAAAGTAACCCGTGATGTTTTATTAGAAATTGTATGATTTTACATGGCACACTGACATTGTAAATTGTACCTATATTGAGTAAATTAGTCAATCTCTGGTCCAAGTGTATTAAACTCGATAAAGACTATATTGAATAAATTGTGTTTTTCATGGACTATAGTCATAAATTAGAGTAATAATATAGTACATTGGTAATTGGTAATGGTAATTTTAGCTTGTGGTCATTTTGGTTTGTCGTTTCTTTAGCTTCTCATCACTTTAGCTGGTCGTTATTCCAGTTTGAATTCATTTTAACTTTTTTTAAGAATGTCTTACCTGTATGTGTGCGTGTGTGCCTCTTTAAGTCAAAAGTATCATTGAAACCTTTTCCGCAGAAAGTGCAAAGGTATCTCTTGACGTCGGAGTGGCATTTCATGTGCCTGTTGAGGAGTCTCTGCAAGGTGAAAGTTTTATTGCAGATGCGACAGCAAAAGCTTGTCTGTCCGTCTTCGGTTGTGATTGAAGCCACTTTGGTTTTTTCTTCGGTTCTGGTGCTTCCAGTCCTTACTGTCTCCTGACTTGCCAGTGGGTTCTTGATGCCGTGTCCTCCATTAACGAACTCCAACTGAACTTCGGATGACAGTCCCAACTAAAATATAAAATAATTAGTAAATGTGCCGATGTGTTTCAGTAGAGCAACAATTTGACTAGGGCATGGATGTAATTATGTACAATGAAATGAAAATTGAATATTTAAACCTACTGCCTTCATCATATTGATGCTTACCCTGTGCAAGACATTTACTCTGCCCTGTAGCGACGGTGTCTCACTACTGACGCTATCCCTTCTGGAGGAACTCACATTAGCTGGTGGTGTTGTAGAGCCTCCGTCATGGGGGCCCTCCAAGCTGCAACTGGCGGCTCCGGGGCTGGGCAGGGACATCGTCGTCGGTGAGTCCAAGTCCAAGCCGTTTCCGTTAAACGATAAGGTCGGCGATAGCATTTGGTTTTGTTGTAGTTGCACGTTCAGTTCACCGTTCACCGAGGATTGATACGATGGGAGGGTGTCTTGGTAGATTTTATTAAAGTTGTGGTTATATGAGCCCCTATCGTAGTTCCTGTTTAAGATACCCTCGCTGAACGAGTCCAAGTTTTCAACTTGTTGGAGGTGTGACGAGTCGGGGGAGTGGATACTGCCCGAGTTAATATCGTCATCGTTGTTATCATCGCTGGGCAATCGTTGTAAGAACGTCGATAAATCGGTGGCATCCCCCAAACTTTCCAACAACGCATGTTCAGCAGAGCTACTGAATGTTAATGTTGCAGTGAATTGTAAAGGATCCACGACTGCACCAGAAACCATGTCGACCATCATGGATTCGTCATAGTTGGAATAATTGCCTACCAATTGATTCATGGGGTCCATTTTGGAATCGTATAAATCCAAGTCAGTTTCATCTTTCATTACTATGCCATACGAAGCATTCTGTAAGGTGGAATACTGTTTCGGCGGACTTTGACAACCGTTTATACTCAAATTCGCCAACTCTTGTCCAGTATCGCACTCCATGTTATTGTGATTAGAAATAAGGTAATTCGATGAAAAATTACCTCCAGCGTTGAAGTTGTTTCCGTTATTTACTCCTGAAATATTTCAAACTTTAATACATTGCAATTACATTAACCTTTCTACAGTAATTTGGGTACGGTAATTCCTAAAACGAGAAGCGTTGGTAATGTAGCTATGGCTTCCAATTAAAAATTTGTTTTATAAAAAAATATATGCACATTCATTTTTCCTTATAGATACGAATTTCACATATCGAAAAAACAATATTTTTCACAATGTTGCAAAAACAAGAGCTGATTGAGCAAAAAGATGGTCATTTTTGGAATCAGCGCACCCAAATACTTTGCAGCTAACAGAAAATTGTATTTTGTGGCCTGTGCAATCAAACGAAATATCGTTACCTTTAAGAGATTCGTAGAAAGGCGGCAAACTTCCAGTTGGCGGACTGCTAGGGCCGTAATTCTGCCTTCCATCCCTTCCAGGATTCATACCGCCGCCGCCGGTACCGCTCCCTAAAGCGCCGCCGCCTCCTCCACTGGATCCACCGGAAGAAAAGTTTATCGTTCCTCCCGACCCGCCAGAGCTAGCACCGTTAGTATTTCCGCCAGCTTGTCCTGTAGAGGAACCCCTTCCATGTCCTGCAGCGCATGACATCGTCGTTGGAAGTTTTCCGACTATTGTCCTTACGGAAATCAAAGGTTTGCTCACTTTGCTGCAGTGAGATCTTCTCTGCTCTCTAATTCGTTTCTCTTCATTTTCGTCTTCAACCTCTCCTTTCCGCTTGGGGATGTGGTAGTCGATAGGCTGATCCTGCTCGGGTTCCTGCTGCATAGCGATGTGCTGCGGAATTCTCGTATCGACTTCATCCTTCTTATTTGTCGTTGTCTTTGGGGTTCGCTGTATAACACTCTGCCTTACCGGCGCCAAATTCTGCGCTTTCGGTACATTTTCTGGTGGTTTTTTGCAAGGTGGTATCGTCACCTTTTCCGCGCCACCGCACGGTAAAGGTGCGTACTCTTTTCGTTCGGCTCGCGTCGATACGTGACCGCCATAAGGAATTCCGCCCCCTAATATGGACGACTTGAAGCGGAAGGGTTTGCCTTTTTTGTCTTCAACCTCGGGTTGGGGGGTTTTCGATTTTTGTGGTCTTATAGGAGATTCTGCAATTTAATTTATTTATCATTAATGCAAGGAATGTATTCCGTTATTTATTTATTATTATTACACATTACATAAATTAACATTTAAATATCAACTACTATTATAGTAGTAAGTAAGTATCTCCGGGAATTGCATTTTTATTTAAATTGCAAAACTGCGTGACGGTTTACCAAGTAAGTATATTTGGCATTCAAGGATGAACGTTGAACTTGTATTTCAATTTACATTATTATCACACTCAAATGTTCCCGAATTAAACACGATAAGAACAATATTCAAGTGAAATGATATTTTTAAATTCTTATTGTTTTTCAAGCGGCAACTGTGCTACAAGAAGCACCTGCGCGTATGAAAACCGGTACCTCAAGCGGTTCTTTTTCATAATAAATGCTTGAAAAATTCTTCTTTAAGCTACCTGACTGAATTACTATGTTTTATACACTTCGATTTTAAAATTATTAAATAAATTCTGAATCATGTTTACGTATTCTCGTAAGAAATGAATTAAACTGCTTCCTAAAAAGCAATTTGCTATAAATAGCAGTTTTCTGATTAAAACAATTAATTAAAAAGTGAATATTTTTTTAAAACAAAGTAAAGTTTATTTGTACTTGAAATCTAGTTCCTACTTTTATTAAATAGCACTTTCAGCGCATATAGGGTATGTTGAAATACTAGTTTGTAGCTATGAATAATGACAAGAAATGTTATTATAACAAGTGCACTCAAGGTTTCCAGGTTTGAGATGAATTTATTTGTTGTATTTAAACGCATATTTTTAAAAGTTTATCACAAAGTTTAATGTGTAGTCGATCGGATTTAACGAATGTGGGTCACATTGAAGTACAAAGGGACGGATGAAATAATGAATTCATGCTCTACTTGAAACGAATTTAAAAAGTGAAAACACCGATCGTTTCAAGGGAGACCCATATTTATTCACTGCTGTGCTAGATATTCAAAATTTCGATCGATTGAATTTAAATCGGCTGAACAGGTCAATCTTTTATCGAAAAAAAAAAACATTTCATTAACCTTTTAAAGTAATTTTATTAATAACTATTTAATAACGGTATATGTTTTATATAATATTTGTTTGGGTGTAAAAATCCAACTTGTTTCAAGGCGAAATAGATCGTTCGTCGATAGTTTATATAATTTTCTTTTCCTCCTTTAGTACTTTCAAACTGTGCCCACAAAGAGACTGCGAAGGCGACCAATTAATTTATATTTGTAAATCGTAGTTATTAATTTATTAATATCAATATCATGAGCTTGGAATATTAATCCTTTGTTAATAATTATAAGCAATCAAAAACCTAAAAATTTTACTTTTAAATTAACGAATTCGATAACGAAAAATCCTTCGAACGCGTTTGTTGACCCTAAGACATATCGCGCGAAAATATCAATTATTAATTAACTAATGTTGACCTTGTATCGCTAAAATATCCGTTAGTTGTTTTAATTTATTTGTTGTCTATTTCTATACCAACAATATTTTACGTAATTTCGGCAGATGTTCCCATCACAAAACACATGTTGTTTTTGGTACCTGATACCAGGATTTTGATTTTGTGGTCCCACAGACAGGTATCATACGCATTATCCTGTCATCTACTCGATAAAAAACTAGTTTATAGTCATCGAAATAAAAAATTCCGATTTCCACACCCAGTGCATCTCGAAAGGGTATCCTAAGGTTAAGTTCAAGGTGAAAAATGCATTTCTAATATTACCTAACGTTACTTAATCGGCAGCGAAGAAAGTATTTCGAAACTTTCTCCTGCCACTGCTGTGATATAAGAGTTATCTCACACAATCCAGGTCAATATCACAGCCACAGTTTTACCTATTTTTTCCACGATCAATTTAATTATTTTGTATTCCTATAAGAGGTATACGTAGGTAAATAGGTACCATAGCAAACTCGCCATTATAGAAATAATAGGGACGTATAACATAATCCAGATTAAGCCAGATAATGATATTACAAACAGAACTTAAGCTTATATAGGTGTTATTAATAATTCATGAAATTATAAGATAAATTGTTCTACAAGAAAGGCAATCATATCAATTAATTGAATATCGAGTTTTTTTACTTAAATAGACAATTAAAGCATCAAATCAAAATCAAATAAAATGTGATCTGAATTTTAAAACACCCAGTGTTTACAAACAAACAATTATAGTATACAATTTCCTAATAAGTAGGTATACGTATATGTACATGCGCAGAAAGAAAATAATGCACCATTTTTCGTGATTGTACATATGTAAGGCTACAAAAGTGAGAAAAGTGGCTTAATTTTAGTAAATCCAAGTCACCTTGAATCCACCATTTACAATCAAAGTGGCGGACCGTGCTCGACAACCAAGGGCACCTTTGATTCGTGAAGAACAATACTCTCTTATATACCTGCGTACACGCTCGAAAAACAGTTGAATTACGACGATATTATTCTGTTATAATTTGCTTGAAACTGAGAGCAAGAGAGACACAAGTTATACCGCAAATATTACGCACGGACCGGCTCAAGGCTGACTTGATCGTGAATTTAACTTATTTACGAATAAGTAACTGTCTGAAAATGAGTGTGCGGAAAATGTATACATTACTATAGTGTGGAAAATTACAATTTTCCGCAAGTGTCAAATCACTATAAAGGTATTAATTAAAACACTGTTATTCGTATGACACACGCTAAAAATATTGTAAAATATCTTATACACATACATATATGTATGTGCACACAGTATTGAATATTAAAATGTTTACCTATGGGTTTAGAGTAATCAAAACGTGGCATTCGTTTGGTGCAAATGATTATCAAATATTGATTTTTAAATAGTTAAATCAAATATTAGGTTAACAGAAAAAACTAATGTAATAAACCGATTTAACAGTGAGGGTTCGTCGTCTTATCACATATCGGAGTCTCCACTCGAAATCTTGGCTTTCAAACTTAAAAACTACATTCCTGATATGATGTGCACCCCGAGAGAATTTTTACATGAACCTGCTACCAAGTCGTCGAGGTTGGCCGGGCCCGGCGAACAAAAGAACGCAACTTGTTGGATATGTTAATATACTATGTGAAACAAGTGAATAAATATGGTTGTCATTGAAATTTCCAACGAGTACGCTGTTATTTTACGTTTTTATTAAATCTTATTTAATTTTTGTAACATAGTAAAAATTACTCTTAAAAAATGTTATAATTGATGTAAAATAAATTTGGAGTCGATATAATTGTTGTAAAGTTATTTGGCAATGAGTGAATAAGTGGTAATGACCGTGAAACCTTGAAAACGAACGATTCTTTGTGTATTTCAAAACTACTTGAAGGTGTGAGGACATTAACGCTTTGATAATATTTTAAGTGTTTCCTAATCCTAACTGTGATTCATTTTGACTTTGTTATGATTTTTTCCTAAAATACCAAAATCTTACCATTATTTTTCTTGTGTACGATCAAACTCAGGGGTTGCGTGTCCTGGTTGGGGGCGGCTCCAATGACAAGGTCCCTTTTGTTTTGGGTGGCATTCTGGCTTTCCTGCAGACGCAACTGCTGCTGCTGCAGTCGGTCTTTGATAAGGAAAATCTTCGGCATCTTTCAGCAGTGAAAAAACACAAAATAATCCTAATAGTGATCTTAGCACTGACACAGCACAAAAAACACCATCCACTGTCCTTCGGGTTTGCAATGATCGAAAAATCAAAATAGTCTGTTGGATGAAATGAAAAAAAAATACTCAAGTATGAGACGACAAGCGCGCGTTCATTTCCGATGATGGTTCGAACAAGACTGTTGACCGCTAGGAAGGATAGCTCAGGGAACCGTTTTGTGCCCCCCTTGCGCCCTCGCCTCCCGCGCGCCCTGGGAACCTGCAGAGGTTAACAATTCAAACTCACTTGGCCAATGCCAATGGCAAAACGCCGTGCTACCAGTGGTGGGGGAACAACACCGCGAACAACGCTGCCAAACCGCACTCCTACACCTCACAAAAAGTTTCATGAATAGATCATTTTTTGAAAAAATGTCCATACACTGATAAGAAAAATTACATACTGGATTGTTGGTTATTTTGACGCCACAATATACCTAATATGTAATTTTACATTTATAATGTTTTATTACATGTCTTATGTAATTTTACTTTTTTTTTGTAAATTATCGTTGTGTAACTTTAAATGATTAAATGTAATTTTTCAAATTTAAAGTAAAATTACAATGTAACTTTAATGTTGCTCAGAAAGTATTTTTAATATAACAATATGTAATAATACCATATACCAAAAGTACTTTTTGTGATTTTAAATTTGAACTACCAAAAAATAAAGGATGGTTTGTTTCGACGGCTTGTAGTTATTGCATATTTTCTTCGGCAATTAGCTGATGACATAAAAACTAATTAGGTTGTTTATCAGATAATTTCCGTAGAAAATATACAAGAACTTCACGCTGTCCAAATTTACCCTCCCTATTAAATATTCTTTTTTTTTTTTTTGATAAAAAATATTTAGATATATACTTCTGCCCTGCTAATTACTTTATATTGCACACACGGGGATTTTGGATAAAATAATGTGTTTGGTTTTAAACAATTTTAATAAAACATTTTTCAATTTTACATACTACTTAATATTATTATATATAAACAGCTATAGCTATATTATACTTAGTACATACAAAAGGTATTATAATATAATACTAATTATACCTATTAACCAAGTAAATAAAATAATACTTAATTTAAAAATACTCATATTTTTCACCAGTCAACACTTTGGGCTTTGAGGTGGTTTTTGGCTTGTACACTATCAGGATCGATCACGAACAATGATGGCGGTGTTTAACGATGAAAATAATGATGCTTCTTTAACACTTTTAAAAAAAGTTTGACATACATTGCATGAATACATATTAAAATATGGGTACACTGAAAGAAATATATGTTTGTTATAGCAATGTATGTGGTAGTCCATATATAAAACATAAAATATATTTGCCTTAACCATATTATGTTAAAACTAAATATAAAAATGGTTAAGGTAAATATATTTTATGTTTCATATATGGACTACCACATGTATGCATACATTGCTAAAAAACATATATTTCTTTCAGTGTACTTACCTTTTCTTCCAGTGTATATTTGGCACACTTAACACTCGTTCACACAATATCGAAATAAATGTTTTTTTTGCAATATTGCAAAAACAGGGCTGTTTGAGCAAAATTATGGCCATTTTTGGAATCAGCGCACCCAAATTACCCCTGAAAAGTTATTGGCCACTATTCAGCAAACAGAACATTTTAATTTGTCGCCTGTGTAATATTTAAAAATTTATTTGAGATATTTTTATTAAAATCATAAAAAATCATTTTTTAAACACAAAAAAGCGAGTCTTTCTTCGCATAATTTTTCCCCATATTTCGCTACTTTAAAAGACATCTTTCAACGTCGCTTTTTACCTCGTCTGCAGCAGCAACTACCTGTCGCGTTGTTGCAGCGTTCTTTTCTTTTTCCTTTTGTTTTCTAACAGTGCTTTTTGCTGCCCTGACTCTCTTGATACGATTTTGAATTTTCTAAACGCGCACTGCCTTATTAGGGAGTTTGACGCATGATATCTTAAGTTATCCTTATTTGATCCTATAGAGCGATTATATGAGCTTGTAAGGAAATTTGTCTTTAGAGCGATTATATGAGCTCAAAAGGGAATTTGTATATTGACGATATATACTTTATTTACATTTGAAGACCTAGTAGTAGAATTATTTGAAAAAAACCGTGCTCTATAGAGTATTCCCAAACTACGAACAAGGAAATACTTATAAACCATAAAATTAAAATCTATTTAGGTATTACAAATTCCTTAAATATTTCTTAACAATAATACAAAAAACTCTTAGAACTTTTTTCGCAAGAAATTTGGAATGAATTACGTCGCGGGTACCCGACGACGAAGAGAGAATGCCAAGATCACGGGTACCCAGCGTTGACGGTTGTTTCGCCTCGCAATCCTCGGCGGTTTACTGCGCGGTGAGGCGTCGACGTGGCAACGTTTCGTGCCAGCCGCCGCGTTCTTGACACTAACATTACGGCATAATGGTTCGCATGTTCGACAACTGTTGTTGTTGTATTGTTGATGTTGTTGTTACTGATTTTATGTCTGCATGACTCATATACAGGGTGTTCAGATTTTGTTGGCAGCAAAGAAATTGGCAAAAGTAGATGTTTAGACTTTTTACATTTTTTTGTAGTTTTTTTGGAACCCATATGGCACCTATAGGCCTAAAGAACCTATTTAAGACTTATTCAAGTCTTTTTTTAGTGATGACTAAAAGTTGTGTTTCATCTTAAATTTTTTGTAAAAACTTTTACATATTTAGTCTTCTAAACTGGTCATTTTGTGGAAGATTTCAAAAACCTTACACAAAATATCAAACTTTAATTTTTTACATTTTTAGTCTAAACCTCGGTCTAAACTTAATTTAAGTTTCGGTATAAACTAATAAATATAGGATTTTTAAAATAAAATTTTTAAAAATATTGTATTTTTTAGTATATCCTAAAAATTTTATAAAAATCTGAGAATTTTTTGTTGAGGATTCAGATATTTAAAAAAAAAAACCGTACACAAAATGTGAAAGTTTCAACTTTTACATTTTTAGTCTAAACTTAATTCAAGTTTTAGGTTATACTTATATAATAATATGATCTTTTGAATGGAATTTTTAAAAATAATATACAATTGATAGTATATTCTAAAAAGTCATAGAAATTTGGTTATTTTTGTGAAAGATACATATATTTTACAAAATATCAAACTTTCATTTTTTACATTTTTAGTCTAACCCTAATTTAAGTTATATACGATTTTTAAAATGCAATTTTTAAAAATAATGTATCTTTGTTAGTATATCCTAAAAAAATTATAAAAATCTGCCAATTTTTGTAAAGGATACAGATAATTTTAAAAAACCTTACACAAAATGTCAAAATTTTAACTTTTACATGTTTAGTCTAAACGCAATTCAAGTTCTGGAATATTTTGATAAAAATACGACCTTTAAAATACAATTTTCAAAAATAATAAACATTTGTTAGCATATCCTGAAAATTAAAATTTGACTATTTTTTTGAAAGATAAAAATACTTTTTAAAAACTTTACAGAAAATGTCAAATTTGAACTTTAGTCTAAATTAATTTAAGTTTTAGTCTATACTACTGATACGATCTTTAAAATGTAATTTTCAAAAAGAATATTTATTAGTATATCCTGAAAATTTCATACAAATTTGATTATTTTTGTGGAAGATACAAAAATATTTCAAAAACCTTACAATAATGGCAAAATTTTGAGTCTAAACTTAATTTAAGTTTTAGGGTAGGTGATAAAAATATTATCTTTAAAATGCAATTTTCAAAAAGAATATACGTTAATTAGGATATCCTGAAAATTTCATACAAATTTGACTTTTTTTGTTGAAGATATAAATATTTTTCAAAAATCTTACACAAAATTTCAAATTTTACATTTTTACTCTTAACACAATTTAGTTTTAGGGTTTATTGAAAAAAAATACGACCTTTAAAATGCAATGACCCAAATTCACAACTTAAATCTTGTAAGTACAAAAATAAATTTTGTGACGGTACATTGTTTTTGTTCTTTACTGACTTAAACATGAGAGTACATGGAAAGGGTATTTTCTTGGGGATTTTCTCGGAAAAGTAGCGTACTTATTTGATAAGATTAAACGCTATTAGAATGCAAAAAGGTCTTACGCCTTTGTCGGGATGCATTTGCGGCATTAAAGGATTTTGCATGTCTAATACAGGCATAATCCATTGTTCAAATTGTGTATAAAAACAAACCTTCCCGGTAATATTAATCCAGGCGTTTTTAAGTTTAAAGTTAGTACCTATAGACTATAGTCTTTCTTTTAATTGCACCTTTAATTTTGCTTACATAATAAAGGTTACTAAGGAATTCCTACAATGAATTATCAGAATGTTCCGTTATATTGTGTATTTTTTCCGTCCCACCACAAATAAATGTCACACACTATCACAATAATGCATTATTTTACGTAATCGCTAATTAATTTAATAATATCCGCACTAAGTGTCATTGAATTTATTGAAATTCAAGTAAATTGCGTTTATTGGGGACTAAACAAACTAACTAAAGTTAACAGTTACTTTAAATGGATGGTGTATTATAATAGTCACTTGTCTATTAATAAATAAGTTTCATAGTTTAATTCGTCACTATCAATTTTCGAAACGTCGATTCTCAAGCATATTTTATATTGGCAAAACAATGGTAAAATAATGATAATAATAATTTTTTCCCTTTTATAAATTTATAGTACAAATTGTATTTTTTCAGTGGGATATTAAAAAACCTTTATAAGACTGATTAAATTTACTATTTAAAAACAACAAATCTTTCAATTAAAATAATTTTTGCCAAGGGACAGGAAAAACGGAATATATAATGTATATATTATGGCGATGTCGGTATTTTAATCTTAATTTTGTTTAAAAAAAATATTAAAAAAATGCATGCCAAAATTTGAATGTCCTAACTTATTTCCGTCTATTGCCTGTAACAACGAGAAGTTTGGCAGATAGGTGATTTTTGCTTTTAATGTAATAATTTTTTTAAATTACTAATAATTATTATAATTGAATCGGTGAGCTTAAGAACAGTACAAGTCCAAAAGTTAAAATTTTGACCAAATATTTAAAAAAAATTTATTAGGTTGCTTCATTTTAGAGCGACATTTTTTTTCAAAGTCTTACCTGAAAATCTTGTAACCGGTCAGAAAATAAA